TTTTATATTTAATTGTAAATTTATAGTAAATTAAAACATACATTTGTTAACTTAATATGTGCAATATAATGTTTAATTCCTTTTCCCACGAATCCATTAAAAATTTGTATATCTCATTTTTTATGGTTGTACTGTACACTTGGATAAAAATAACCTGCAGTGCAACCATAATAAAATTTAAAGGATTTACCTGAGAGCAGAACAACTTCTATATGTGAGTAAATAAAAAAAAATAAGTTCTTTTTATTTCAAATCAATGAGTTTTCGTGTCATCTCTTCGCTTCTATGATTTTCAAAGTTTTACTTTCTTTATTTAAATATTTTTGAAAACCAAAATATTAAAATTTTATAATTTTCTACAGAAATTCTGTACAAAGTTTACTTAATACTGCTTTTCTGTGCAATTTTTATTTAAAAAGAATTAAATAATAAAGAGTATTTAATAAAATACTATACATAATTTTGGAAATGATACGTTTAAATATGCAAATAAATTATATTAACAGTGAAATTTACTAATTGAATTTAAGAAAAATATTTATTAGCTTTAAATTATTGTTGTATGAACGCTTATAAATAAATTAAAAATTTTAATATTTAATTATTTTAATTTTTTTTTTGAGATTTCCTATTAAACATTTCATTTGAAAGAGTCACTTTCACTATACTTTGAAAACCTGTTTCACCTGTTGCCGCGTGACGTCAAGTATAATACAGCATTCAGCTTTATATGCGCACGTGGCTTTCGGCCTCGACACTTTCACTTAATAGCGTTTGCAAAGGAACAAGGTAAGTGAATTGATACAGAATGCATGAAAGACAATAAGACGACCTTTAGGTTTTATTTGTAAATAAAACGTAAATATTTAAAAATCACGTGCTTATATTTAATTTTTGAATTTTTTTTGGGTTTAACTTACTTAATTGCAAGCTTTTTTTAATCGTTTCATTGATTTCTCATTGCCTGATCTAAATACGAAATAACGAAAATGTTTCAATTAAATAGTATCAATAAATCCCGTGAATCGTAATTTGTCTGTATAATTTATACATTTGAATGTAAAATAATAATTATAATTAAATTTAATTTCTTATAAAAGTTCCTTTTCATATAGATCTAATTGATACGGATTTAAAGCTTCAAAAGCTTAGAAAATTTTTATTTTAGATGATGATGAAATTCGTTATTTTTTTTTTATATTTTAAGATTTATTTTGCGTAATTTTTCAATCCAAATTCTAAATAACTAATTGCGAAGACTTAAAAATAATGATTTTTATGTAACTCTGTTATAAAATTTAATGAAAGTCATAATTATGAAATATTTAATATAGAATCAAATTACTTTTTTTCTGGTTTTGAGTATGTTTAGCAGAATTTTAAATCTGAGATTAAAAGTCAAATTTCTAAAGTTGAAAAAGAAAAATCGTAATAAAACCAAGAAATTTAATGCAATGTTCTTAGAATATTTATTTTTAAGTTGGGGAAAATTGAAAGCTATAAATACAGTAATTTAAATTATAATGGTTTTAAAAACTACTAATATCGGGAAACATGTTCAATCGATATTATTCTACTTTTGTATAAATAGAAATAGAATAACACGGATTCAAAACTAAATAATTTATATTATTTAGTTCTGAAAAATTCAATAACAAACATGACTTAAGGATTCTTTCACACTTTATTCAGTTATTAGAAATATTTTATTTTAAATATTGACATTTCAAAACAATAACTTTAAACATTTCTTAATAATTACTGTATATATGTTTTACATTGCATAAAATATTTTAAACAAGCGATTATTTTATACATGTTTTCCTAACAAAAAAAAAAAAGATTATTAATTACATGAATAAGTTTATTCAAATTGTTTGTGTTTTAATTGTAGTATGATCATATAGAATTAGATTAACAATACAAAATAGTCTATGGATCAAATATGAATTCTTATTTATGAACTGCTATGGTAATATCACAAATAAAAAAATATTTTTTTTTCCATTTTGTCTTAAATTTTGATGTAGATCTTCATAATAATATATTGCTTTATGTGTATAGAATTAAAATATTTGTTAAGTTATAGATAATTTAGATGGAACTACTTTATTAGTAAAAATTATTATGGTATAAGTGGGTTTGAAATAAGCTGTTTTAATCATTTTAAATGGAATTAAAATATTCTCAAAAACTTAACCTATTTTCTTGGATACCAATATATAATAATATTATTTTTATCTTATAAACCAAAGGTATGTCTGCATCAGATTTAGATTGTATTTATGGTACCGATTGTTTAAAAAAAGAATCATAAACTTCTATCTAATATATTTGATAAGATTCGCCATTAATATTTTCAGTGGATTTGCCTGTAGGGTATGGTTATTGAAGCATAGCTGTAAAGTAAGCATAGTTGTATCTTTTTATAACAAATTAACAGCATGTCAATCAATATATGTCGATATTTATCTATATTTATTTAAAATTTTAGTCAAGTGTTCCTCTTTGATATCAAGTTTTCAATTTTATATATGCTATGTATATATCAATATAAATTATAATATAACTTGAATATATTTATTTATCAGGATAATATAGATAGATATTTCATGATCTTAAAAATAATAAGAATTTAAAAAAAAAACAAAAAATATTGGTTTATTTTTTTTTGTTCATAAATAGTATAATTTTGTTGTATACTATGCAACAAATACAAGAAATATGCGTGTTCTTGTCTTAGTTTTCTTAATATTTTTATATATCAATTTCTCGATTTTTGTTTTTTAAAAATCTTTCGTACTGATCTAAGAAACTATATTTTCTTATATAGTTAAAATTTTTAATACATTAGAAAGTTTTAATTTGTTCACCTAAATAACTCGTTACAATGTACTAATCCACATAACGCATTCATTTCAAATCTCTTTGAAATTCATCCAGTCGTGCAACCTTAATCAATTTACGTAAATAATTTTCATTAGTGCCCTTCAATTCAACTACTAGTATCCCGGAAGGAGGAAAGAAAAGTCTTAACAGTTTCATAAACCATATCCAGGAAAAACAATATTCTTGGCAATCATTCAGTTTTATGTAACAACCAATGCCTATTGTTCGAAACTTTAATCATTTCTTTTTGTTTTCAGCAAACGTACAATTTGAAGCTTCTGAAATTTTATTAAACGTTTTAATTGATAGGATCAAATAAAAGATACTTTCTTTATATCATTATTATTTATTTTATTTTTATTTTTATTGATTTTTAAAATAAATTTCTTGTAAAAAATCTTTCTGTATTAAATGTAAGTATTGTTGTTCAATGCTTTACACTTTCCTTGTTTTGTATAAATTATATTTATACTGTATATAATCATTTAATAAATTCATGACTTCAATCAATGTGCAAATGTAAATATTCAAATCGTTTTGATTTGTATATGACAATAATGTCTAAAATTTTTAATTTTATTTCGAAAATAACATTCTATTCAATTTTTCTCCTGAAAATTTATAAATCTAATTTAATAAAGTATTTAATATTCTTTCATAATTACACCTGTCAATGGAAAATAATAAGCAACGATAACTTCGCTTGAATTTAAATTTTTCACGAAATGTATAATTTTGCCACCGTACATTATTAAATTTTAACTAATATTTCAAGATAAAATAATTTTCGACTGATTTTTTTAATGATATGACTACTATCTAAGTGGGTGATTTTACTTTATTATTGTACAAATATAAAAGTTATATTTTAAAATTTTCTTTCATTTCTGAGATTAATGGTTTAATATTTTACCATTAATCATTTAGAACTCTTATAAGCTAAATGATTATATCTTTCTCTTCCCTTTCTTTTTTTTTTTTATACATTATCATATTTCATTTTTCATCATATAATAAGTTATAATTAATTTTGGAACGCTTTCAAGGTTGAAAATTGAAGAAATATTCCAGCAAATAGGCTAAAAGTAATAACGAACATATTGAATGAATACTTTTATTCAACTTTAATAATTTTTCAGCCATGCGAGCCATTGCGAAATCTGAAAAAGAACGTTTTGAATCATTATTACATTTTGAATTTTTTCAATCATTCAGAAAACAAATTAAATACAGTAGTTGTTGCTGCATTGTTTTAGTTTAAAACAATCTGAATAAGCAATATAAGATTATAATTTTAATCCATAATGACCACAACAGTATTAAAATAGATTTCTTTTAAAGGCATCCTTAGGTAAAATTATATGAATCATCAGGCGTTACTTCTATTCCTCCCAAACTTCTATTATCTTTCCTTTTAGAGAGAGAGTCCTTGTTATAAAATGATAATCTATTTTTGTTCATAATGACAGTAATTGTTAATTCAACTGTAAATAAATGTATAGAAAAGTTGTATTCAACTAAATATAACTTACAAATTTATGAAGTTGGAGTAAGAAATTATATAAAATGCTAAAACTATATTTCATGTTAATAAAATAGACATGCCCACTCGCAGGATTTTTAAAAAGGTAGGGCTTTAAAAACTATATTATTTCATAACGTAGTTTAAGTTTTACAATATAAATAGAACTGAACTGATACAAAGTAGGTATAACTCTATTTTGGAGCAAGAACTTCTAAATTCCCGTGTGCACAGCTATGAAATAAGTCCGATTTAGAGGGTTAACTTTTGCGTTACATCAATATTTTGGAATTAGTTTTTAGGGTTTGACTTATGAAATAATTAAAATACTAGTTTGGTTTGAACACAAGAAAAATCAAACTTTTTATTCATTCAAATTATCAAATTTTGCAAGAAATTAAAACATAAAGTGGAAAATTTCTATATATCCCTTTGATTATAAATTATTTTTGATTAATTAATTATATATAAACATTAAAGAAGCGATTTATAAAATGTGTATTATATATTACTTCAATAAGTTTTAAATTTTAGAAATTTGTTTTAAAATTTATTTTCCAGATATAAAACATAAAATTTCTTTTTACAGAAACCGATATGAAGATTATAGCTACAATTTTTCTCCTCAAAATTATTCAAGCTATAGATCCCGAATCTATCATGTATCCAGGCCAAGTAAATCTAGGATTGTTAGCTCCTCTGCAGGATTTTTTGGGCAGATCTAAAATGGAATTAGTGAGATCAACCATGGCTTGTGTCTGGTCGGTCAATGAGGTCAATAGCCGAAAAGAGGCCCGAGAACTGAACTTAGGTGAGTCAATGTCTGAGAGTTGAACGGCTTGTGATTACTTTCCTGGGGCTATTACATTTCTTTAAAACTTTGAGGCAAAGATCTCTAGAAAATATCAGTTTGTACATGAAAATAATCTTATCAAATCTGATCTATGGCTTTAAGCTTAAAACGTTCATAAAAATATAAAAAAATTTTTTAATTCCGCGATAATGAAAGCATACGGATACTTTTGGAATGAGCTGTTTCGCGATCATAAATGCGTATAAAAATTATTTTATGATTAAAGTTACTATATCTTTGCTCTTTTTAAACCTTTACCACGTTGAAAATAAATCCAAAGACACATCTTTTTTTTATAAGACTTATATTTATTTGGTTCCCAATGAATTTTGTTTGCACATAAATTTAAAAATTCTCTTTCAACGTTAATTGTATTGACATAATCATTGTATCTATTTTATAAATAATATAAATGATAGTTTTTTTTTTGTCTTTTTATTAAAAAAAATTTTTTTTTAAGTTTCTAATTATCCGGTAGCTTTATTTTATGTATGGAAAGTTTGATCAATAGTGGTAATAACAAACAAAATGAAATCTCTAGCTTTACATTACAGATTATATAAATTAATTCTTTTAAGTTTGGTAGGAAAAAAGTTTAAGATTTAATTTTGAAAATATAAATTTACGTCACGTGAATCAAATTTAAGTAAAATATACAAAGCATGTTTAAGTTTAAAATTTTTCTGATCGATAAAGATCTGCAAACTTGTTTATTAAGGAATATTGATTTATATAATAAGTTGTGAATTCAATGCAAATTTCTCAACTGAATTATGTTATCGTCCAGAAAATATAGATATGTACAAAGCATTTCAAAAATAAGTGCTTTAATTCAGAAAATCTTTCCTTGTAATTTATGCTTTTTTTTTATCAAGATGATGCTAAAAATTTTGATATGATATACCGGAAAAAAGTAATTAAAACTTCTCTAATAACGATGATAATTTAATCAGGGGTATTTAATGTTAATGTATCTTTCATTTGACTTTCCGAAAATTTCAGATCTTTACTTTGTTGAATAATTTTATATTTGCACATATCATATTTTGGATTGCATTGAATAAAAATAATTGCATATAATTTTCCTGTAAACATTTTAAAAATTCTTATTTTAACTATTGAAAAAAAATGCTATTCTCTCCAAGTGTGTGCGTGTGTGTACATATACATTCTTTTTCCTCTTAAGATTTGTCGAGAAATATGCATAAATTATATTTTTTTTAATATTATTACATACTTATAATAATTGTTAAATTCTTTTTGAAGACATAAAACTTTTTATATAAATCTTATGTACAAAAGTTTGTGTAAATAGCTGTACGGTAGTTGAACAGCAATTTATAAAATAAACGTAAGCTTTGTTTTGGACTAATTAGTTGCAGGAAACAACATTTAATTATACTTTAGTATGGTCATAATGAATGTAAAAACATTAAGTTTAAATGATTTTTTAAAAATTTTTCAAGAGCAAAATTTGAAGTGTTATTGATCTTATAATTTTTAGATGTGGGTTAATTATATATTAAAATTATACGATAAAATTATTACAAATGAAATTATACCTTTCAAAAAAAGGTTTGTGATTATTTTATTTTATATCTTATCCTTATAGCGCTATTCGTTTTATGCTAAACAATAGAGATCTGTGATCTTAAAAAATAATCGTTGCCACTAATATGATGGCTACAATTTATCTTATTGAAGATTTAAATGATCTCATTAAAGCCATTTTATATATTTTGTTATCAATTCATTTTAATAGTTAGATATATAACATAATATTTTTCAATTAAATTTTAAGAGAAAATATTATGTAATAATTTAAATGAGAGTCCATACAAGTTGGTGAAGATTTATCTTCTGTGACTTAATATCACGCGTGATTCAATGTAGAAATGAATGAGTACTAGCTAACATCGAACACAATAACAAGTTATTTAATACTACAAATTTATCCTTATGATCGATATAAGAGAGATTAAAACTTTTGATTAAGCCACTGAACATTTTTTTGGTTGTAAGTCATCTGATCGCATTCTTTCGGTTGATGAACTCTTACAGCATTATCTCACAAGTCATAATTATAATTAAACAAAATACAAAATCAATTATATTAATTAAAATTTTCATTACTCACAATATAATAGATATGAATTTTGAAATTTTATTCCTGTTTAATCTCGTAATTTTTTTCTTTTCTTTCTATTGGTAATTTGACTTATTCAAGCATAGATATTTTATAATTATTTCGTAGTGGTGGATATTAAATAGTTCACATTTTAAAAGTTAATAAATAAAAACATTTTCAACATGTATTTTTGTAATTTTATAGAAATTAATTAATAAAAATTTTATTCTTATTTAAGATAAATTTAGATGGTATCCATTAAGGACTGAAGTTTTATTACAGTTTTGAGTGTAGCCTAAATGCATTTCGACTGATAAATTGATATTCGTCAAATACAGATTAATTTTGTTGTTCGATTTATTTGTAACATTTTAATACATGGTTTTTTAATATAAACTGCATAGAATCGCCTTTTTTAAAATTATTTTCTAATACTCACTTTAACTTAAAATTAAACGAATATTACAAGAGTTACTTTCAAAATATTTAAGGATAAATAACATGAATATTTGCACCAAAATTTAATAGCATCACTCTAATTTGAAAAAAATTGTAGACATAATTGCTACTGTCATCCGTCCGGCTGTCTGTCATCCTATAATCTCGAGAAAAGACTTATATATATTAAATTCAAGAGCAGATATGGAAAGGGAGGGGACAGGAAGCCCCGATTAACTATACATGAATGTCCGATGAAAACCGAAAATCACGTTATTTCAATTCAAAACGTTTCCTGAAAGGAGTTATACAGATGACCGGCACGACTCTGTTGTTAATAAAAAAGAATGATGCACAGGGGCAAGACACTACTGTACTAATTTGAGGTAGAAAGCATATATTTTGAATTAAATAAATTAAAAATATGACTAAAAATTTCAGCCCTCCATTGTGACGATGTCACAATAAATAATTGCTCGTTATGTTAAGAAAAGTTTTTTGAATATATTCAAAATCAATATTTTAAAATTTTCTATTGAGTAGCGATACATTTCTAGATATAACGAAAAAGTAGAGAAACACTTTTTGATGTACTGTGCAGTACGCTACCGTAGGCATCAGATTCATTAAATATAAAAATTTGTAAAATCGTCAGAAGTGAAACTGTAAATCATCATCAAGACAAAGACATTCTTTGCTCTTTTATACCATTTTATTGCCAGAGATTATCAAACTCATACGCTTGCAGAAAGCCATTATACTTACTATAGTATGGGATTAACAAAGAAATGAGCAATTTCTTCGTTAATCCTGTACTATCTCTAGAAATCCTCGAAAGTAATAATACCCAGAAAAATGAACTAATGCTAGCAACTGATAGAAGAGATAAGATAATCACTTCAATATATACGTTTTTGTTATTAAAAAACTTCAATATAAAACTTTTATTTTGTTTCTGAATTTAATTGATAATAGAATTTTTCTTGCTTTATATCATTAATATAAACTAAAATTTTCAGTCGTTTATCAAATTCTGAAGATATTTTTAATAATGTTTTAAAATTAAAAAGTAATATATAATTACATAATTACGTACTAATTTGTGACGTATCTAAAATTTTATTTAGTAATACCTGCATTCACGGAGCACTTTATTTTTTACTTTTCCGGCTGTTATATATAACAGAAGAAAAGTACAGTATGTGTGCGTGTAGGGGAGCACGATTTTGTTCACCCTGTTTGACGCTTAATAACTCCTGTGCTTTTTGTCGAAAATTTCTGAAATTTTGCAGAAAGGTTTGTGTATCAGGGAGATTGATGCTACTAAATGTTGGTGTTTAAAGATCAAAGGGGTGGAGAGATAATGGTGATCGTGTGTATCTCCAGTAGGGTCGAACTTAATGACGAGTTTACTCGTTATTAAGTTCGACCCTACTGGTGCATTTACAGTTTTTTTTTTATAAAACTCAATAACTACCCTCAAAATTAAGCTTTTTGTCATTTTATAGTAGTTAAAAATGTAAACATTTTTACTAATAAAATATCATAACAGATGGCGTAACCAAATGTTGCCGAGAAAGTTAAGGAACTCGTTACTGGATTTTTTAATTTTACTCTCTCACCTTTGGACATCAAGTGGGCTTCTTAATTATTGTGAATCTGGCCGGGTATATTGAGGTACGAGGCCAGATATATCTGGGACAGACCACCCCCGAAAAATTCCTGGATTTTTATGTCCGCCCGGATTCGTTTTCGAATCCCATAAAGACGTAGACATCTGTACGAGTATATAAAATGCTCGTAGTATGTATATATATATATATATTTTTTAACTCTTTCCGCCCGTGGGCACTAAGAGGGCCTCTTTTTGCAAGCCCATTATGGGTTCGACCAGGCCCACAGTAGGGCTGCCGGGTGGTGAGAGGCAGGACCCGACATATCCGAACGGACCACCCCCGTAAAATTCCTGGGGATTTTTCGACCCGTTAAGATTCGAACCCGAGTCCCCCAGAGCGCTCGGCCATCCGGCCTCACCTATGCAATGAGTTATAAACTGCAATTTCTTGACTTATGATCCTTAATTTATACGTTAAATTCTGATTGGTTTCAGCGTGGTTTTAATAGTGTACGGCAACGCAACACATGGGAGATCTGCCAAGAAAGGGATGCCCCGGAAGGTCTTTTATGGGAAATTGGCCACTATTTAGGTGTTACTAACGTAAAGAAAATCCGAAAATCTCCACGTGACCAGCCCGTTGACGAGGCGTGAACCAATGACTAACTACCAGTGTTCAGTGGTTTTCCACTCGGCCACTGGTAGGCAGTAATTTTGATTAGTGATACTTTTAATCGTATAATTTAACGATTCAAAAATTAGTAAAGCTAGACCAAACAAAAATGTAAATGTATTTTTTAATTTAGTGCTTTAAAGATTTTAACGCAAGCTAAAGATATTTAAATAAATTGGTATATCCGTTTAAATATTTTCCTTAATTTTATATACAGAGTGATTGTAGTTAGTATCACTATTCAACGCGGTCTAGAGAGATATTTAGCAGTTCAAGTACAATCAAATTCGGTATAATAACATTTCAGGGCATGCCGAAGACATTTCCATAAAAATATTGGAACCCGACATTGCCACTATGGCACTTCTGTTATCAAAAGCAATGAACATTTAATTTGTACGAGACCTCATGCTATAGAGAGACCTAAGCAATACAGAGGATACTGCTCAATGTCCTCCTCGTTCTGAAGGTGTAAAATCTGAAGGCCGACTGTAATTGATCCTCTTTGTTAGTAAAACACTGCGTGCGGGAAGTGTATTTCAAAGTTGCCAAATTCAAAACGAACTACGCTTTTAAGTGAAATGAAACTGCGTTTTAGTTGCTTGCAGCACCAAAAGTGCCTTAATAGCAAATTTTGAAACTGTACAAATTTTTTATGGAAATATATTCTGCATATTTCGAAATTCGTTAAACTAAATTGTTATTTGGAGTGTTAAATATTTCTGGGCATCGTCGTACGGGTAATTTAATTACAATCATCTGGTATATTTCATATTTTTCGTTTTTGTCAAATTACATAAAACATCAAAGGAAACTTGTAAAAAACGTAATTAGAAACTAAATAAATTATCTAAATAATTTTTTAATAAGTATCGAAATCCTGCTGCAGGATGCATTGACTTTTACCCCAATGTAACAAAATCATACAAAATATGAATAACAAGATATAATGACTTGAGAGAACTTGAATAATGACATGTTATATAATATTTTAATTTACTAACAATGCATGTGAAACATCGCGTGTTCTCTCAATATACGTATGATGAAAAATAGTTGAATAATTTATATAACTTAAATAATAATCTCTAAAACATAACAATTCATAAAGGTCATTTTCAACTGACCTTAACGTATTGTTAGATTTAATATTAGATAATAAGTTAGATATTATCTCTAAGTAATAAATATCCAAAATGCATCAGTTCTCTTGCTTCTTGCAGAGCTGAGCAAACATAAATCTTAATCTCTGAGCAAACATAAACATTAATCTTAAATGAAAATTAGAGATTCCAGGTAAAATTTGCAAAATAAAAACAAAAAAGTTAGATGTATGTCATAACAATAAGGTTTATACAGTATATATATATTATAATCTGCTAAATTATTAGCCATAGAAACCTTGATTTTCCGGTGTTTTCATCTTGTAAAAAATTGAAACAGAATCATTGACAAATGTACTGTATTTTCAGTTAATTGAAAAAAAATATTATTATTTAAGTACCTTAAACCTGACTATATGACTGTACCATTTTGAAAATTTTTAAATCTATTTAATAAACAACTATTTAGTTGTAGAACGGGTTCAATACTGGTACTATATGGCCTTGGAATGACAAATTATATTTATTGTAATCTCGTTATATATTTCTGAATATATGAAGATTAATGTCAAATTATTAATTCTTTTTCTCTCATTAATCTCCCTTTGCTATTTATTCAGGTCGATTCACGGGGTTGAGGTGCTATTTACTTATTCAGAAATTAAATCATTTCCAACAATATCTGATTTCTCTTTGAACATCGAAATGAATCAATAAAACTACTTTAAACTAAATTTTGCAACTCTCGGATTTGTGCTGGCCATAACAGTGATTACGAGTAGAATGTTATTACACTAAAATAACTTTTCCTATCAGAATTAGTTAAAATTTAAAAGTACGGCCGAATGGACAAGGTGGATAAGATATCCTTCTCTTTGATACAGGTATCGCATCCGGACGAGCACCTCAGGAATTTTTCATGGGCGATAAGCCCCAGATGAGTCGGGCCTCATCTCTTGCCACCCGACCGTCCCGAAGTCATCAGAGGGTCTGGCCGAACCAATGATAGACATGGAAAAAAAGGATCTCTTAGTGCCCTCGAGGAGGAAAGAATAAAAACAATTATTTATAGTCTTATATATTCTCGAAACAAAAAGTGTGTTTGCTTTTTAAACATTCTGAAGTTTTTCTGTAATACATTAGTCTCTATAGTCCATCACTTGCCAGTCCGACACTCTACCACAGGCCGGCACAAATGAAATTTTTGTGTTACCACTTGATGTATGCGACAGAGACTGATTTATGTGTACACTGTCAGTCGCTAGTTTTTGTTGCATGTGCCGTCGAAAAAACAGTCATAATCGTGATTTAATACCTGTGAACCTAACCTGTGAACCAAGAACGTTTTTTTTATTGTAGGGTACGCACTATTGTAGGGTTTTTTATTGTACGTACATGCAAAATTCAGTAATCCGACAATCTGCTGTGTTCCGACATCCGCCAGTCCGATATATGTCGGATTACAGAGAGAACTATATTAAAACTTTTTATTTTATGTTTGTTATAAAAATAATGTAATTTAACTTAAGATTTACATTTTAAACAAACTAATTATTTAAATTATAAATTACGAATTTCCTTTAAATTGGCGTTATTTTATTTATTAAAATGCAGATGCATTTTTAAAAGAATTCTTATAATTTTGATTAATAGCGTAGCATCTTGTTATAGGTCTAACAGGAATTTCAGATTTAGTAAATTTTATTTTTAAATAAAGAATGTCACGATCTTCACGAATAAAATGCATTTTTACATAAGAATTATAATGGCTTTTGACATGATTATGAACTAAACAAGTTGACTCTATGCCAATTTTATTTAAAACAGATTTTCATTCTTTAAGTAATATTTTGCTGGCTTAATCTGAATTATTATATAAAAATAATTTGTCTTTTTATAATTTTTTAAGAACTAGTATTCACGATTTACACATAATCTAAGCAAATTAAATTTATTGAAATTATTTAATAAATATTTAGCAACCCATACACACATTTATGAATATAAGCCTATATGACTATGTATTAAGAAATATTAATTTATTTCAGAAAATTAAGACAAATTTTTAATAATTTTCAACGAATATAAAGTATGCAATTTAGAATTAAAATGGTTTTTTATGCTTAATAAGTGCTTTAAATATGTTAAGTATTTTAAAATTTTAAAATTATTTCTGTTACCTAATCACGTAGTAGATTAAGTATCAATTTTCGATCTCGTTTAATATAATATGAATATTTTTAGGAATACATTTATATGACACCTGCAACAGACAGGATGTAGCTCAGAGGCAGGTGTTTCGATTGACGGAACATCTGGGTCATATCCAAATACGAGGATGTACAAATGATAGAGGACCCCCGATAGCAGGTAAGAAATGTCTTTATTTTTATTTATTATTAATTATTTAATATGTCTGATTTTCTTTTATATATTTTATAGGTGTAATTACTCTTGGAAATTCTTCAATATGGGAAACTCCTGTGAAAATCTTGGAAGCATTTTCTGTTCCATTAATGACAACTGAAAATGGATTTTCGAATATTATTACTACCTCATATTCTCCTTTATTATTAGCTCGGGTAAGTAAATTGTATATTATAACAATATGCTTAATAAAAACGTTCGTATTGAATTACTGTATTGCAGAAAATTCACTCAGATTATAGGAGAAAATAATTTGACTTTTACTTAATATGTTTATAAATAAACTAGCGATTTTTCTATTTATTTTATCTTAATTATGTGGTTTTTCTCTATTTTTTTTAAATATAAAATAAACATGTTTCACTTTCATGTTTTTAACTAGAGACAAATGTCTTATTTCAAATAGCGTTACTCCAAAATTTTCCATTCATATCGATCACAAATCCTAGACATATAGTTTTTGATGTGGAATTTTCCCGTTATTGTATGAAAGTCATGTATTCATTATATATAATTAAATTTTAATGAATAATTAAATAGTTAAATTTATAAAAACTTATGTTTCGTATTCAGTTTATAACCTTGATCCTATTTGCAAATATGAAGGAACTTTATATCGTAACATGATATTTAAAAAATAAAATTATGAAAATTATCTTTTTTTAATTTTCATTATTATGATAACAGTGAAAGATATGATAAATAACAGTTATTTTTCTTCTTGATTAAATTTTTAATTATATAAAAAGTTAAATTCTCACGAACAAAAGTAATTTAGTCATGAGAACAGAGCAATTTAAATGCAATCTTATTCATTTCTATTTTATATACAATATTTGATATTCGAACATTACATATTATAAAATTAATCAACGGTAAAAAAGAGATGGTAACTAAATGTGTTTCGTAACTTTTTTCTCAAAAGAAAAACAATTTCATATAATTTTCATTTTAAAAATCTTTGAACAACACTGTTTATCTGTCAATTAATTTAACTCATTAATAATAAAAATTGAGAATGAAGTCTTCTTTTTAACTATTTCCCTTCACTTGTCACTTGTGAATTCAGTAGCCCCTCGTTATTTCTCTAATTTGTATATATCGCGCTTATTTGTCTTCCAAATATAGAATCGCTTTAGCCAATAATTTTTTCAAAATCGATCGCCATTGAGTTTCTATTGGCAAAAAAATATTACCTTAGTTTTAATGCTTGGAATATCTTTTTTTGTATGAAATACAACCCACAAAAAAAGCAAGTTGATATGGAGACCGAAAATAGACAACAGGTGGATAGACGTAATGGTTATATCGCGCCTTTTGATATATCGTTCATTTGATTTGTCTCCCGACATATACGATATAACGTGGGGCTACTGTATTTACAAATAACTTGCCGGATAACAGAACATCTATAACAAATTTATTTCTTAGTAGAAATAATTATAAATATTAAGAGCAAAAATATAGAAACTTTATAAAAATGTTAATGTAGCCTAGTAATAAGAATATTTCATTGCAGTGCTTAGTCTCTCTTTGTTCAAGAGCTGGATGGTATAAAGTAGGATTTATTAATATTGATCTATTCGATGAAACAACAAATGTGATAAAAGAAGAAGCTCTTCAAAACAATATAACTGTCGAAATATTATCTTATACAAATATTTCAGCCATTAATAGAAGCATGTCAGTTCAGGTAATGTTTTTTGTATTATAATAAACAGTTATTTAACTTGTAAAATGTATATAATCATATACTAGATTGAATTAATAATATAAATTAAAACTATAAAAGTATTGAAATATTAAGTAATATTTTGCATATTAAAATTTGAATTAGACCTAAAATATAGTAATATTAATAAATCATTTGTTTTCATTTAGACTTTCGTAATAATGAGTAAAAATATAATCGCTGCAAACGAAGTCATTAAGCTTCTTCAAGAATTTAAACTGGTGCTTTTCTTAACTGAAAAAGCAACAAATTTCACAAATTTGCTTAATTTAACCGATTCTACAAATGAAGATCTCATTGTAATTACTCCAGAAATTCTCTCCGTTTCTGGATTTGAAGATTATTGGAAGAAAGAACTTAATGAAGGTAATATATCAAAGCATCCATTAATTGCAAGATTGTCCAGTATGAACGAAACATTGGAGGATAATTATACATCTCTTAGTAAGCCTATTTCTGATGAAATTAAAATAATTTGGACATTTTCGGAATGTTTAAAGAACATACAGAAAAAGAAGTGCAGTTATGGTAGCGATTGTATTTCTTTAATTAAAGAATCGTTAAATTCCGACATTTTCAATGAAATGAAAACAATTAATTTCACCATCAGCAATGTATTTGATGAAAGGAATGTAACTGTAAGATTCGACAGAAATGGAAAATTAGCTACTGAAAGATTTAATATTTACCTTATAGGAAAAGATAATACTTTACAGGTAAGGAAAAAACTTATTTTAATATCATAGAATATAATTTTACTTTTCTTCTATTACGGTTATTCAAATATTTCGAATGGTTACATAATTATTATTGTTAATTTTTTAAAACTTCACCCCGAAGAGTCTTTTTATCTATATCCAAGATTAAGCAATTATATTAGGTGTTCACTCTCCTAAAGATGCCCCAACTAATCAAAAACCTAGTTACAAATAGTAGTTCTTGCATTGGAGCATCAAACTCTTCTGCCTCCTATATTAAATGTGAATTAGAAACAATAAGACAAACATTAACATCGTTAGGGGCGATTTTGAATCTCTCAGCACAAAATACATTACAGTCCATTTTAAATGAACATTGTGATTAGTATCGCAATGTTTTTCATGCTGCAATAACGACTTGTTATCCTATTTCTAATAATGTGATACTGGAGAAAGCAATACCAATAATAACACTGGTCTGGAATCTTTAGATATATTAATATTAAGTGGAACAGTATCATCACCAAGTTCTGGCTTATTTTATTAATTTATTATTAATTAGTATACTGTATTTATTAATTCTACTGATATATTTTCTAAATATTATTTAATTTTAATTCAATACCAGTTTCATCAATATTTTTAATAACTATTTCTGTATCATTTTTCACGTTCGTACGTAAAAATTTAAAAAACGTAAAATTTCGAAGTGAATCAAGATTTAGAATGTGACAATCCAATTTCCTTATTTTATTTTAAAATTTTATTTAAGAATGTTTAAAGTAGAAATAGAACATTTTTGTGAAAGAATTTTTCTTTCTAAATTTAATATTGAGCTTATTTTTGTTACTTAGCTTTAATATATTTAAAATTGATAATTCCCATTTCAGATTGGTTATTATGATGAAGATGATGATGCGCCGAATGCAAATGGCTTATTCTTAACGTTATCTGATATATTTTTGATTCCAAACCATACTGATACGGCTAACACAAACAAACCGAGATCGTCCAGTCTTTTATCACCTCCCGGCATATCAAGATTGTTTTATGGAACCGATCCCATGCAAAATTCAACAGACATACCACTCAATGCAGATTATAAAAAGAAAGAATTTCAAACATTACTAGGTACATCTGGATTAGGTATTTGGGTGTCAAGACCGTGGTCATTAACAGTTATTGTTCTCTCTACTGTCGGAATTTTATCAACGATTTATATCATATCATTTCTTCTGATGAAATCGTGCGAAGGAGCTCTGAAAAAAAGAAACCTACCATTGATGTTTTTAACATTGCTATCCGTATTATTATTATTCGGATCATCAATACCATTTATCTTTCGTCCTTCAACGATATTGTGTGGAATTACCAGGGTGTGTCACAATATAACTCTAGCTCTGCTATCTGCTTGCCTATTACTTCACGCGATGCATCTTAGATCACAAGAATTGCTTGGTTTAGGAGGTCGTGTCAGCCGTCTAAATCAATTTATAACCCTTGGATTTATTATTGGGATACAAATTGCCCTCGAAGTACAGTTTTGGTTATTTGAAACGCCTAAAATATTTTTAGTTGATGATGTACCGTTTTGTTCCGTTTCTGTGAACGAATATGTTACGTCTCAAATTTATATAGCTTATGTTATTGTAATCGGTTTAGTGGTAGCATTCACCTCTCGAAATGTCCCTTATAATCATCGAGAAGGGCACTGCCTCTGGATCACTCAAATCGTGTTTCTAATAGCTTTCGTTTCGAAAACATGTTTGTACTGCTTTCTTAAAAGAGAAGTTAAAGACATGATAATGAGCTTAAGTTTGATTGTGATCGCCTACATCATTTTAGGGGGAATATTTATACCATATTTATATGAAGTTCATAGACAAGGTGGTTTACCTCATAAGCCATTATCATATGCTGAATCAATGTCTACAGTGTTTACCATGTTTAAGCAAGACGGAGAAAGTATATCTGGAGAAAGCACTACATCTCGTGGGAAAAAAGCTGCCAAAACCTTAGACAAATCGGAAGGCATGGTAGAAATGACCCATAACCCTCTTTACGATGATTTTAGGTCTGTTTATACATAAAGAAATTTATGATTATGGTAAAAAGTAAAAAGAAAGCAGTTAAAGTGAATAATTCAATTTCGCTTTTGTGAGAAATGCATTTGAAGAGAGCAGAGGACAATGAAATTTTTTAGAATTTTTAAAATACCTTTAAAAATTGTATACAGAATCACTTCCGAAAGAGGTATGCGTTTAATGAATTATCAGAGTAAGTACATGCACGAATTTCGAATAAAATGGTTTTAGTAAAAGAGAGATAAGAAAATTTTATAGTTTGATGAAGAATTATGAATGTTTTAAAATATGTTAAAGTTCAATGTGATGTACAAGAAGTGTCGTATTTACTTGTATTAAGCTTTACTTTTTATATCTGTTCCAATTAAATATGTACAGTTTGTTTATTAATTAGAGCAGGTATTTCCATTGTTTCTATATCAATAGCAATTGTTATCAGCAATAATAATTATGATAACATGTATGCAGATATAGACAATTCTTTGTAAAATAAAGTTTCGTTTCTACAAGATTAAATATCTTATTTACGATTTTATATGATTACATATGAACGTCAATTTAGATAAATTTTTTCTGTATTATTGCTTATTAAACTTAACACTTATTCAAATTATACTTTAAAAACAAGATAAAATTTAACAAATATTTTTAAGTAAAAGCAACTCATTTACTGAAGTGAATCATCAAATGAAATTTATTATATACAATATAAAATATAAATTAACAATAATAACTTTACAACAAATATATACAAATTTTTTTTAATTTAATAAATAAAGATATTAATTCTGCGCTAAATATCGATACTGTTGTCTATATATTATGTGATGTAGTCTATGTATATTATGTAAAGTATGTTGGGCGACATTTATACCCTGATAAAATGGAAGGAAAATAATTTTGAAAGTATTATTTTTCTCTAACGTAATTTCTTTTTAAACCCATATTTTATAAGGAAACTTGTACAGAAGTTTAAAATGTAAATATATATTTTTTAATTTAAAAGAAATATTTCTATGATTTTAGATTATTGGGATATTTACAAATATAATCCAGATTATTAATATTTATTAGATCTCATTGATTCAGTTAATTCAGCAGCCGAAGATTTTGTTCTTTTTTTCGAAATTCTGAAAATAGAGATTATAATTACGAATCTTTAAACCTAATTTAAAAATTTATTTATGGAAAAAATCAGGTTTTAAAAATAATTATAAAAATTATTTTACCTATAAACAATGAAAATTATTGCATTCGTTATTAAAATTGCTCCAATAATAGTAGAAATAATAATTGCATTCGTCTCGGCTTGGCTTAATCCCTCTACTGAAAATTTTTTTATCGTTTCTGAAAAACAAGTTATCAAATAAGACATAAAGCAACAAAAATATTCCTATTAATCATTACACTATAATCTATTTTTAAAGAATATAAAATCATTTTAATATTCTGTAAGAGTAAACCTCTTACAGAATATTAAAACGATTTACTTTGAATTACTTTGAAAAATGAGATTTCTATTCATTTAATTTCAACTTGAAAATTTATCACTTATTATCTAGGACAAAATGCTGAATAAGATAACTGTTCTGGACACATGCATTTACTAGACTTTAGGTGACGTTTGAATTGTTATACAATTCAAACGTCATCTAAATCATTATGCAAATCCCTTTCATTACTCTATAACGTTCACTTTGTTTGTAGAGCTGTATATTGTTTAGAAAACGACGACTGACAGTACGAATGTGCCACCGCCTTCGCTACATACTTTTTCTCGTTCTGAAAGTATCATAAAGGGAAGACAATTAGAAGTCAAACGAAGTAATTGGTCCTGAAAGTATATTCACGCATTAAAAAAAAAAGCTAATCCGGCCCTAAACAAGGCTGCAAGGCTGACCAACCTGTCGTCTTTAGTTGTATTTGCTGCGAAGAAGCAACAGTTTCCGATTGAAGAGTGTCCAAATTATACAGTTAAAACAATAAAATCCATACAAATTAAATTAAACAATAAATAACGAAATTACTAAGGTAAAAGATAACAGCTTGGATAATTATCCAAAGCTGTTATAATCAGTTCTTCCAGGCTAGTGTGCTGTATAAAACAAATAGTTCGGCATGAATCGATTTGTTTTATACAAATAGATTCATGCCATAGTGAGCAGTCCTTGATATTTCTATCAACGTGATAGAAATATCAAGGACTGCTCACTATGATTCAGTGCCCCCAATGTGAATCTAAAGGAAACATTTTTTATGTTGATAGAAAATCGTTACTACACATAGACTACTATCAATAAATGGAAAATTTAAATCAGTTTTTCTTAAAATGTTGATGTCGTATGTTGTATAAAACTGCACGATTTAAAATAGGTTCTGAAATTACATTTCGCAGATACGTAGTGAATTAAAAATATTTTTGAATTACAATAACTATACTGACTGTTATACACAATATTAGTTTTCACTGTTTATATTTTAGAAAATATTTTTTCTTTATTTAGTAAAGAGGTCTATGAATCCCTATGTGGTCTGTGATCTTATATGTGAAAGGATTTACAAGTTTATTTTCGCTAACATCTACTGTAACTGAAATTTAGCTTTTTAATAATGAATATAGGTAAGAGTTGTTTATGGCCGATCCACATCATTGATTGAATTTTAAAATTTATAAAACTTGGAAGTATTTTGTGTAATGTGAAATTCTTATTTAACTACATTTTATGTTGTTATTTGAAAATGGAATCTATTGGTTACGCCATACTCTTAAAGGTGTCGACAGCACAAAACAAGGAATTCCTGATTTGATAATTCTTATTTTAGTAGATGAAAATGTTTTTATTATTTTAGTATTTATCCAGATGCTCCTTACAACTGTAATAATTATAATTGAAAATCCTTGGCTCTTCTCCTGTATAAGGTCTTTTGATGAGATACTCTGCATTTTATTAAAGATCTCATTTTTCATTCTACTAAAACACTTTAATTATAATTTTTCAGTTTATCTTTCTGTGACAAAGAATTATAGGTTTTGTGGATTTAAGCCATGAGACAGAAAAAAATAGAAAACAAATAAAAATATGTCCAAACATGTGTCGACTTTATTAATTCTTGTAACTGATCATTCATATATCACTGAAGTGGAACCTCTATATTTACTGAAAATATTCATACAATATAATCTGCTACTGTATATATTTAAGATATTTTTTTATAAAAGTCAAATTGTTCATTATGTATTAAATTGATCCTTGCTGATTAAAAACAATAATTAAACTGAAAGATAAAAGTGGTCTAGTACCTTCAGATCTTATAAAATTATGCAAATACTGTATTGAGAAACTGTAATGAAAATTTATAGCATAAATTCAAAGCACAATTTTAAAAATTTAATGAAATATCAATCTGAAGTTATGAATATAATAGCCAGTAAAAATATTTTTAAAGATGAACATCTTTCCACTACAATATCATTTGACGAAGAACGACCTTACAGAAAACGAATAAAATTTTGCTTAGAACTTTTCTTCAAATTCTCTCAAATTAGATGAAGTCACAAAATGTATAGATATAGACCTATCATACCATCAGCGTGATGAAAATATTACGTAAAAATTAATTAATTGATTCGCTTTAAGTCTGTTTATAACAGCGTTTATTATCTCTTAAAGTATTTTAATGACACATACATGTTTTAGTGTATAAAATAAAGATATTACAAAATTTGAACAAGTAATATTTGTTACAATTACTTTTTTTAAATAAATAAAAATATTTCTTCTATAAATAAGTCTTTTGAATGATAAACGAGTATTTTTTAATTACTAATTAAATATTTAATATTTAATTACTCATCTTTGCACTTGTTTGCCGAAACTGGCGTAAGAATTTGCGGGTGATTTTTAAAGGCAAAATCATGTAAGGTTTTGTTTATAAAACTTTCCTCCAATAAAGTGCGTAAACAGATGAAAATAAATTTATTTAGTTTAAAAATATATTTTTATATAATTTTTTTATAATAATTATTAATATAAAAATATAGAATATTAATAATAATAAATTTTGCAATATAAGGTATTAAAGCTATTTATATCTTTCATTTATTTATCAAAAGAATTATTTTTTATTAGTATTTAAAATTGTAAATGATTTTTATTCTGCATGTTAGTAAAAGGATTTTTCTTACACCGGTCATTTATTGTTTTATTTCGTTCAATTTTAAAGATAAATTTCACCAGTATCGTTAAAATGTCATGATTAGGAGTACCGTATATATTCATGTAAAAGTCGAATTCTTTAAACCAATTTTTAAGGTCAAATTTATGGGGTCGACTATTACATGGATACTACTTTTCAGAGGCTGAAATCCAAAGTTTCCGAATCAATAGCAGAAACCCAACTGATCTCTAAACGAATAAAAACAAAAACACGGCGAATTACAGTAATATCTTGACCTGTTCGTGAAATACTACGGTCGACTTTTACATGGGATCGACTATTACTCGAGTATATACGGTAAATAAAATACGGTATGTTGTTTTAAGTCAAAGCATTTATTTACTTTATTTCACTTCACAACTTAGTTTGAATATATTAAAAGAAGGAATATTCTCCCGGAATCAATGGAAATATAACTTGGTAACTGTTAGAGTCATTCCCATAAATAAATCGAACATACTGTAAATTAGATTTTATTGCATATTTTAAAGTGCTTTCCTAAATATTTGTTTAAACTAAGTTTAATACTTTTGATTTACATTTTAGTATTTGGATGCTTAACTAGAACTTACATTAGAAATTATATCAGTTGAAATAAGTTCTATTTCATAAATATTAATCTCCGAGTGAATATTTTTCAAATGATATCAATCAATTTTATGTTGTTAATTTGATGCATTATACTTAATTCACTATGGATTGTGATCGGCCCAATGTTCGCCCACTGAAAGAAACTCAAACCGAGCAGATTTAGATAGTCTATCTCAATAGTTCAAATCTGATTCAGATTTCCGTAATTTATCACGTCTGATACAGACACGCCATTTCATCCATGAAGACTGACTCCATTGTGGATCACCTTCCTAAAATAAGCGAAATTGGGTAAGCCAGGTGACTTTGATGTTTTGGAGTTTCGCGCTAATAAAACTGAAGGTCATTCTTTAATAAATCAAAACTTCACACGTCTCAAAAATAAATATATGATTACAAGCAAGTAAAAGTTCTCCAGTAATAAGCAAAAATTTAGATTGATAATAGTTCAAACTACTTCTTAAATCCTTGCTCATATTTTATCAGTCATCTCGATTTATAAATTTACATTTAATTTAATATAAAACGTAGCTTAAATAGTAATGAAAAAAATTTAAAATATATTGTCTAGAAATTTATATAGCTATACAGTATTTTATGATTATTATCCTTAAAAATATATATAATCAAAAAAGATAAATTTATAACTTACCAGTAACAGTACAGTTATTTAACGATACTGCTTGACCATTTTTACAGTAGCATATGTTTGAACGACAAATACCATCATATAACCTGCAATCATCGATATCCCAGCATTGAAATTTTTCTGAAAATAGTTTTGGAAAAATTATTAACTTTACAGAAATAATCATTTGCTTTATTGTTATAAAATTATTTCGAATCTTGTTATCTTAGTTAAAGATAATTATTAAAGATAAACTATTATTATTAAAAAATTAAAAATGTTCACGAGAATCTTTATTTAAGGACTTAAATAAAGAATTATTCTGGGGGACATTTTAAAAACAGGACAACAAGTAATTTACATTATGAATAGTTAAAAAGTTCTTTCGTTTATTTGGTTTTTGGCAAAATATTTCGGGTGAATGTCAAAAGTAAGTCTTATACACACAAATATAAGCTGTTCTGGAGAACCGGAATTTCATCTGATAAAAAGTAGAAAGTATACTACTAGAGTATTGATTAAAATTGGAAAATCCTGTACTTTATCTCCCAAATTTTAGTAACATATCTTCAGAATTTGCAATGATAGATTATAATTTTCTAACAAGCATTCGATTTATCTTACTTAAAAGTTCTATTTATATCAGTATTTCTCAAAGTAGGCGATATCTCTCCCCTGTTGGGCATTTGAATTAGCAAAGGGGCTATTGCTTTCTACACCTGTTCTGTGTACACAGAGGTCCTCGTCCCTGTACACAGAACAGAGGGCATTACTAGCAACAGTCACAACCAAGGGGGGACCGGTGATCCAAAAAAGTTTAAGAATCACTGGTTTATACAGTGAGCTACGCTTATTGCAAACACGGATAATGTTATCAAAATTAGAAGATCCCAAAACATACTTTTTATATTGTATTATAATTTGTATTTCTTATGGAAATCATAATTTGATTATTCTTATCATTGTATTCGGGTAAATAGGTCTTTTTTATGTTTCTCTTTTGTGCTAGCAGCCTCAAAATGCTCACAATACAATAGTTTAATTCGATTGCATTACGCTGGCTGTTGTTGATGTTTGACTGATAATTAATAAATACTGTAAAAATAAATCAATAAATTCAGTAGCTAAATAATATTGAATTCGAATTACCAATATTTATTAATTAATTATAATAAAATGTATAGCATGAACTTATTAAAAATTGTTTTAACGTGTTTTTTTAATGTTAGTCAATGAAACCAAAATTCCTGTTATTGTTGTCTTATTTTCTTGCTTGGCATAATGTTATCAGTCGGTTACTGTTATAAGTTTAGGCGAATCTCCAAGGTGATTATCTTAAAATAAGTTTCATTGATATTGATATACAGTAGACTCGCTTATCTAGGTCGTTTATTAGATTTATTATAAAATATATTATATATAGGGTAAAATATTAATTATAATAATACCATATTTAAAGACGAATATGTTGGTTAGGATAAGGTTCGAGTTATTTTTTGAAGTTTTAATAACTTAATTAAATACAGTAAAATCTTGTTTTATGCGAAATTGACCTACGCACCGTGCCTCTTCAACTTCTGACATTCCAAACACGGAGAAATACCAAATGCTACTCACTGTGGTTTGCATGTATTTTTCTCAATTGTATATTCGATACGGTACAATAAAATTTTTAAAAATACAATAAAATACAATGAATATATAAACATTCATAAACAATACTTAGTTTGGTATTTTTGCAATCTAAAGATATTTAATTGATTTTGTTTATCACTAATTTATTTAGAAAAATCATTTAAAATCTGTTTTAGATAATATATGTTAATTAATAAAGGAAAGATTTATGATTATTTGTTTTATCTTTAATTTACAAAAAAGCAAAAAAAAACAGAAAAGTTTTTAATCAGTTCAGTACATTGGGTCTGAAATTTGATTTTCGTTTAGTTTAATAGAAACACTTATAGAAGAAGAAACAAGCACAAAGCTGTGCAATCTATATTTAACATTTATTTATTAAGATATATTTACTTTTGGTTTTTTCTTAACTAATTTTTACCTGCTATTAATACGCGTCGTTGGTATAAGTCTCTAAATTTTCGACATTACAAGTAACTATTAATATATTATACCGCGTTGTACCGAGCTGTTAATAGGCCTAAATTAAAACTTATTTCAAATACTTTAAAAGTAATTTAAAAGATTTTGCAAAAATTTGTACAATTATTTTCTAAAATAATTTTCAGAATGGCTCTAAAAATTCAGATGAATATAATGATGGAAGTTTGATTTCATAATGTCATACATTTTGCAAGAATTGGACAATTCTTCATTAGAAAAATTGTATATTAGTATCAAAGTAACAGTTAGTAGCTTTTGTCAAAAAATCGAGAAGTAATACAGTAAAGCAGACAAAAACCGTACGCGATTTGTGATATGTAATTCGATGTAACTTCAAAAGAAATCTAAATGTTTCAATTTCGTATACTTGAATGAAAGGAAACAAATATTTTTGAAACAATAATTAATTCCTCAGATTTTTTAAAACTCTTTTCGCCCTGTGGGTATTAAGAGAATCTCATTGTTAGCAAGCTCATTATGGGTTCGACCAAACCCACAATGAAGCGGCAGGGTGGTGAGGGACGGCGCTCGACAAATTCGAACGGACCACCACCTGAAAAATTCCTGGGGTTTTTTCGACCCCATCTGGAGTCGATCCGGAGTCCCTCAGAGGGGTAGGCTGCAACCTATATCGCCCGGCTCTCCGGCCATCAAATTCTTCCTAGATTGCAAAACTATCACAATATGTAACATACTGAAATGTTATGCATTATAGTAACAACATAAGTAAAATGTTTTAACCATATTTTAGCGTTTTTAAAATTATCGGAAATTATTAACTATAAGAATCTTACCAAGTTTCATTCGAATCGTATAATGAGAGGAAACTCTTCCGTATCTATTGGCCACTACGCAAAAATATGTGGCATATTTTCTACATTTCAAAATAGTTAGTTCACTGATCAGAATTCCATGTTCTTTTCGATAAGAATAAATGTTGTGCCATTTATCGCTAGGTTTAACTATGCCTTGGTCTATCAGACCCCACGAAATTGTGGTATCGTAGCCCTGTGTTTTACATATGAGATGCTTATAACAACTATTTGGCACTATTGTTGGATCGTTATTGAAAGGCTGTAAATTGATAGTTGGTGGAGAATCTAAACAAAAAGACTAAATGAGAAAACAATTTCATTTGAGCCAATTTTTTACATAAATTAACTTACTTTTTCCGGTACAGGATGTTTCATTTATGCATACACATTGATAATTTTGACACACAGAATTTCGGTAAGGTTTGCAATCGCTCTCATCTAGACATTCCCATTCTTCTATATACTCAAAGAAAATATTTCATCAATATATAATGCATTTATTTGAATACATTTTGAAATATTTCATATGTTATCAGATTATTACTAATATAAATGCATAAATACAATTGTAATTAAATTTGAATTTTTTTTAACTATCTTATTTTAATAGTAAAAAAGGCATTACTATTTAAAATATAACTTGTAAAGAAGAAATAATTCTCTTAGATTTGCCATTCAAGCTTAATCAGTAATTCAGGCAATGTTTCCTATATTATATTGAATAAACATTTGCAGTCGATAGAAAGATTCATATCGGGGCAATTAATCTAAATTTTCTTAAAAACATTGAGAGTTCATAAATCGTGACTAGAATATACTGTGAATTTATATAAATCTTAAAGAATGAAATGTATTATTATTGATTTTTAATCAACTAATTAATTGAAATAGTAAATAATAAAATCTTAATTAACTTACTGAGTTTTAATATGATTGTTGTTGAATCCATTTCCGTATGATTCTCGTTACTAGAAATACAAGTGTAGGTTGCATTTCTGAAGCATTCATTTATGAAAAGTTTACTAACGTAACTGTTGCCTAATCCGGAATCCACAGTGACAATGTCCGAATTATTGATCAATCCTGAAATATTGCTAATCCAATAAATCTCAGGCTTTTTTAACGATTTCACTATGCAAAATATGCTAGATGTGCAGTTTTTCAAATTCACTTCATTTGGAAAAGCTACTACTGTTGTAATTGAGTGAAAATTACCTATAAAATTTAAATAATTATAAAATAAAAATAAAAACTTGAGACTGTTTACATATTTAATAATATAAATCTATATTAATTTTTTAAATATTCATTTAAATGAAAATTTATAAGTTAATACGGTATTTCCTCGCTTCTAAACGAAAGTTTTACATCCATCTTTACTTGTCTATAGTGCAGGCACGTGAGGCATATTCCTAAGGCCCCCGGTCGCGGGGCCGTCGAAATTGAAAAAAAAAACATATACAATTTTAACAATAAAGTTGCTTTATCGTAATTTATACTTTTATGGCTTCAACTGGACACTATTCGTTTATGATATCGTAAATTTAAGTAGAAGAGCCTCCAATCTGCCTAAGGGTTCCGGGAAGATCTTAAATCTCTTAATAAAAATATTTTAAAATTTTATTTCAAAATCATAATGCCTCTTAGAATCGAGGGAAAACGGTAATTACATATTATACAAAGCTTAAATCGTATATCCATCAGAGTTTACCAAATTATATACAGTATATATTTTTGGTAATTTATAAATATAGTATGTACAGTACAGTATGTTCTTTTTAAAGCTGTTGAGTTTTTCACAGGGTTTTTCACATAGCCTAAACAATTTTGAACTTATTTAAGACTATATTTGTAAAAATATTTGAGTTAGGCTCTGTGGAAACCTTTTATATCTACTCGACTGTTTTAAAAATAATATACTGTACTGTACATGTCAAAGTAATTAATAACTTTAATTATAATTAGTAATATTAATTATATGTTTATTGTATCTATTAATTAAATTTTAATAAGTCAAGTTATATTAAGCTGCATCTCTTTTTAATTTTATTAAAGAATAGACTTGATAAAATGGCCAATTTTATTATTAGAATGTTTGAAAAATACATACACAAAACTGAGTAAATTCATTTTTAAATAACTTATTGGAAATTTTAAAATTTCTAACGATTTCGGCCTTAGGAGGATTTACCTAGTTGTGGTATTATGCTATCACCGGGTAGGATACGTGTCAGGATCTAATCAGCATTTTACCTCTGGGTAATCCCACTGTCGACTAATATTTTTTTTAATATATGACTTATTGGAAGATATTTCAAAATCGTCCTTATAACAGAAGTTAAAAATAGGTATAATAAATATGTATAGATTTAATTTAATACACTGAAAGTGTTACATTTGTCTAAATTTCATAATTTATTTCTTGATTTGTTTTAATTTTTCTACTTAAAACATTTTATTTTTATTTGGACAGCTTACTTGCTTACTTTATTAATATAATAATAAAAAAATTTCAATTATTAACTGTAATAATTTGATAATGAAATAGGCCTAAGTAATAAAAAATAATTATGGTTTTACAGTACATACAGTAGTATATGTAAAACCTGAAATCAAAGATAAAACTTATGTTATTGATTAACGTAAATACTTAAACATATTTAAAAGTTTAACTCAGTAGCTAACATTTCTGTTTAGGTTTCTCGTATAAAGATTAGATTATCATATTGCTCAATTTTTATCTTTCTTGTTATAATAACGTAACATGATTATGTATATACCATTGTAATGATATTTGATTAAATATCNTACTTAAACATATTTAAAAGTTTAACTCAGTAGCTAACATTTCTGTTTAGGTTTCTCGTATAAAGATTAGATTATCATATTGCTCAATTTTTATCTTTCTTGTTATAATAACGTAACATGATTATGTATATACCATTGTAATGATATTTGATTAAATATCCTATATCGTGAATCAATAATAGATATAAATCAATCTAAAAATAGAAGTTATTTATCTGATTTTCTTTTTCGTTATTTCCACCCAATTTCTAGGAAAAACATAATCCAAACAAAAACATCTGAGATTACAAAAACATCTTTTAAGTGAAACATAAGAAACAATAATAAAAATCTTGCGGATACCTAAAAAAAATGGAAAAATGGACTATTATCTAACTCGTCATAATCTTTTACTTGGCATAAATTTTTACATCTTGGATGCTTTTGTTTGGATATCAATTGTTTTTTGGTTAATGATTGTGTTATTACATCAAAAACTAAGACATGCGTACAGTACTGTACAGCAGCGCTGTCCAACTTATCATAGCTCGCGGGCCATATTTTCTTCACCAAATATTTCGGGGGCCAAGAAGGTTGGTGATGGCTAATTGGTCGGCTGGGAATCACGCTACATGACATTTGCATAGTGCTACGGTTCAGTAAGCACTAATTGGTCAGCGAGTCNAAAGTTTAACTCAGTAGCTAACATTTCTGTTTAGGTTTCTCGTATAAAGATTAGATTATCATATTGCTCAATTTTTATCTTTCTTGTTATAATAATGTAACATGATTATGTATATACCATTGTAATGATACTTGATTAAATATTCTATATCGTGAATCAATAATAGATATAAATCAATCTAATAATAGAAGTTATTTATCTGAATTTCTTTTTCGTTTTTTCCACCCACTGTCTAGGAAAAACATAATCCAAACAAAAACATATTTTAACTGAAACATAAGAAACAATAATAAAAATCTTGTGGATACCTAAAAAAATTGACTATTATCTAACTCGTCATAATCTTTTACTTGGCATAAATTTTTACATCTTGGATGCTTTTGTTTGGATATCAATTGTTTTTTGATTAATGATTGTGTTATTACATCAAAAACTAAGACATACGTACAGTACTGCACAGTAAATATAGTTTTGTCGGCGCTCGGCAAAGGCCGCTTATCGAACACTTTCAGTACTCCGTTTAGTAAAATGGTTATGAAAAGTTTTAATTCACATAAATGTGAACTTTTCTTATTCTGGATAACAATCTGAATAAAAATCATTCATTTCGATGCAATTTTATCTTTATAAGAATAACACTAAATGATTAAAAAAAAAACCCGTGAACTTTGACTTATGGATCCAGCACCTCACTGACAACGAGAAAGACTTAAGTTTAAATTTTGAACTTTCTAGATCTAGTAGTTTTTCTCTACGAGCGTCTGCAGTGCCGGATGATGAAGAAAATACAGCATTTTGGCGATTTTTGCACTTTTCGACTGCTTATATTTCGGTAATCAGTTTATAGAAAAATCTGAAATTTTGTACACTACCTAAGAAAACAATTTTTATCTTTTGAATGAGGTATGTAACATTACCGTAGGCGTTTGGGGCGGAGAAATCGACCCCCGAAAATCGCCAACTCTGATTTCTATATATACAGCCAGTCAGCGACTTTTTTACTTGGCGTGGTGTCACTACCATGACTTTCGTTAGAATTAACCAAGCAAACATGTTTACAATGACGTTTACATTAAAATTGAAGAGTAAATAAAATTAAATGTATTAAATATTCATATTAAAGAACAATATAGAACTATGTTTTAATTTACTAAGATTTAAACGTAGGCTACTTCTTTTACTGATATTTCAAAAATCTTATTAATTAAACTATTCAGAGACGTACGAAAGTATTAGGAGTCCCGGGTGCAAGGTTTTTGCCTCTATATAAACAAGAATAATATATAAATACCTTATACAGTAAATTTTAATATATACACTTATTTTTAATTAAGTGTATATATTAAGTGTAACCATTAATTAAGTGTATATATTAATAACTTGCTTAGTGTAACCATTACATCTTTTGTTTACTTTTTTGAAATTCCATTTTGTTTTTGGGCTCCCATAGATCCAATCCAATGCACCCTCCATTTGCATGGCCTGTCTATCGATGCCATTTGCATGGCTCTGTTTATCGATGCCTGTCTCAATTTATTGATAGAATAATAAGGTTTTGGTCCAAAAAAATCATTAATTAACTAAAATATATTCAAAAGTATTGAATATATTTTAGTTAATGTAAATGCACCAGAAATTTTAAATAAATTGATTAAATACGATCAATCACTTGTCCTTCTTTAAGTCGCTTTCAAACGGAAAACTCGGTCTCGTCCATTCATTTTCTCATTGAAATCATATATATATATATATAATTTCAATGGGAATATATATACTGTATATAAAAATCTGATAAACTTGAAATGAATATTTGTAATCGAGCTGTCTAGAGGATATTGAATGTTGTAGCGGGAAGACATTCAGTCACAAATTGTAAAATCCATCACTCAATTCGCGAAGACAGATTTGTATATATATTTGCTGATGTTCAGCATTTATTTTAAAATATAAAAGCAATGCTGATGAACAGCAAAATCATTAGAATATCTGCTGATATGAAAGAAAAAATGGATTACCATGAAATGAAATTTTGTCAAGCCACAACCGAGTTAGTGGTACGCCAAAAAGAAATCATTTTTTTAAACTGACGCCAAAATTGGGTGAAGATCATTTTAAACAAATGAAAGTTAAATCTAGTACTAATGTTATCAGTCAGTGTCAGTAATGCACTAAACTTTCTGTCTGATGAGCTAAAAGTTTTTTAGCTGGTGCGAAACGCGGCCCTGCGCAAGATGGAGACGATTACTTGGTCTACAGTCCAGATTTGTTACCGTGCAATTGCCATCCATTGGCCTTTTGAAGAAAGCTTTGGGAAACAGGAGATTCACCCAGAATGCTGAAAGTGTCATACATTGGATCCGTCACCATCAAAAGGCTTCTATTCTGCAGGTATAACAGCGTTGCCTGAGAATAAGTGTCATTGTGTGAAGAGGGGTTCCCAGAGAAGGAAACTTAAATAAGAACTATGTAAAACATCGCTATAACTGAAATTCCGGATAGAAGTTGAACGCCTTTTTATTTAGTAATCGTCAATCAGTCGTTTCTAAGTGCATATCGGACTTTATTCACTCATTATTCTTATCAATAAAGACATTTAATCAAGCTTTAATTTTGAAAGTACAGAATTTTTATTTAAACTTATCAATCAAATATAAATTATCTGTTTAAATATTAATTTTTTATTTTATTTTCAGGGTCGATAACGAAAGCTTTTAGATAGCTTTTCAAACTATGATCTATAGAT